GCTCGCTGTTTTTGAGAAACATACATTTCGAAGAAACCCTGGTAAAAAGTCCGATCTCGAATGAGTTGTTTGCGCGGAGTTTGCTTCTTCTTGGCGTTCGCCATTTGCAATTTTTATTGATATGCAATTAACCTTCCGACTATGTCGCGATACGAAATACTCGTTTGATAAATGATTCCGCCTTGCTGTTGAGAGATTGTAATAAAAAGAAAAGTCGAATTTTAATTCTGTAGTGGATGGTATCGAGTTATTTTTAATCTTCTTATTGTTGGATTGCTTCTGTGCCACTTTGTATACTTTTAATAGAATTATCCAAGGTATAAAACTTGCACGTGAGAAACGAAAGGGAAAAGCTTGCAATACAATAGACAGCACAAATTTTTATCTATGTAGGTAATAAAAGGAATAAAAGTGTATTCTCACGTTCAATACATTTCCATGTTCAAAGATATATTCACATATTCAATACGCTGTAATTTTATATTTTCTAAAAGTATTTGTGTAAAAGGTTTTGTGTAAAAAATTATTACAAAGCTGAAAAATGGCGTACTATTTATACTGGAATTATTAAAATGCAAGAAGTAGAAGAAATGCCAACGGAGCTCGCTTTTATTTTACATTTTGCTAAAACCATCTCTAAAAAAAAAAAAATAGTTAGAAATCACACGGTTACGAATCCATAAAAATATAAAAGGCCGGGGATTGGGCAAAAATTTGTTACAGAAATTATTTATAGATGGAGATATGATATAATACTTTCAGATGCAACGAATAAGATCTGTGCATTTAGATCTTATTTCATTAGCTATATTTGCATATGAGCGTCCAAAAATCTTCATGCATTTATGTAAAGATGCATAGAACGCATATATGCAAAAATATCTAATTTTAATATTCTTCAATCACTGTGACGCGTAGCCTAACAATCGACAATGTAGATAGCTATATTATGTTCGTCAACTAACAAACATTATTTATTGAACAATGCCTTCCAGAATCTTAATTCTAGACAATTCCACGAGTCTTGCGAAATCAGTTTTAATTTATAAAATGTTCTATTTCCCTTTTACACGGTATTTCAAATCTAATGAAAAGAAGACACGAAAGTTCTAAGGCTCGCTCTAATTGTAAGAAACACGGTTACGCGTAAAAGTTCAGCGAATTTTTCTTCGCGAAACTGGCACTGGTGGCCATTTAATTCGACGTAACGTCCGTCATTGACGACACGATCTACTATAAATAGATTTTATCGTGAATAATAATCCTCTGGTAGTGGCGCGCGTAGTTATGTCGAGTTTATATTCCTGGCCACTTTGCTCCCCCGATAAATTCGTCTCGAACACCCTCTCCGCGCGGAAAGGATCTGCACTTTGCTGGTCGTTCGAGAAACATGGGAGACAGCCATTAATAAGCGACCATCGAATCATCGTTGATCCGTTTTACGTGGTTGAACGGCTTCGCGACCCTAACGTTCCGTTAAAGAGATACGGGTTACCTGTGTGTACTTAGGCTACAGGTAATTAGGCTACGAAAACGTTCACCGCTGGATTTGTAGCAACGACATTTACAACGTAGTCAAACTGCACGAGTCGTCGATGAATTAAAAATCAGAAGTGGAGTTTGTCACCACGTCGCGGAGATGTAAAAATTAAATTGTACATTGAAGCATAGATTTATGTTAATCATTTTGGATTCATCTCTCTCCAAATGCGACGATACATTTAAACGTAGCCAAAGTGTACAAGTGATCAATGAATTAGTAATTAGAAGTGGGATTTATCACCTCATTGTGGAATTGGATATGAAATTCAACACTGAGGGATAAATTTATTTGATGTTTGTTAATCATTTTCGGCCTCTCTACAAATCTTCAAATTACTCTACACATACACGAGTGTGTCAGTGATTACGACTTTATAGATATACTAGAAGTTAGGTCAGTCTTCAACTTAAACTCGATCTGAAAAACAACGTTTAATCTATATCAGTCCAATTCGTCGAAGAAGAGATATGCGACCGAAATTCAATGTGAAATATAATGGCAGGCCTGTGGGTCAATATTTAGCTTACGCTTGACCTGAATCAACTTCAAAAAGTATAAAATATATTATTCATCGGAGAAGGGACGTTTAACCTAAATTCAACCTGAAGGCAGAACGTCATACCTCGATGTAAAAGAAGTCGATATTCAACATAGATCGAGACAACTGTAAAAATTTATTCGTTAAAAGCATCTGTTAAAAAAGGAATATTCAGCCCAACTTTAATATAAGGTAGAATGTTCACTTTAAAATAGTTAGACATTCAGCTCGATCTGAAAGTCGACACTCTGGATGACCAAGAGTCGTGAAAACGATATAAACTATAGCGAGAGTGATTTAAGTTACAAGAATTATAGGAATTATAGGGGAAGAAAGAAATATTCAACCTGAAAAAGTCAGTCAAGTCAACGAAACAACAATAAAACTACATGGTTCTTCAAAAGGGGAATTATTCGATCTAAATTCAATCCAGCATGTTTCGTAACTAGTAGTACAGCCGAATAGAAGAAGGTGATTCTACGTGAAAAGAAATGAATCAAAAAGAAAGAATAAAAGCTTTTGAGAAAATCGAGTTTGAAAAATGATCAAGCAAACTTGAATTTCTAGACGTGATAGAAATGAATGATTAACAAAAGGCTACTCTACGTATAAAAGTAAATAAAAAATGTAGAATAATTCTTCTTTTGCAAAATGAAAGAATTTTATCCTATACTTTTGATTTATATCTGCGCGGAGAATATCCTCGTGTCGATTATTCACGCCTGTCCAGCACGGAATTAAATAATTCAAATATACTTGATCAATGTTCGAACTCGATTTTCTAGAAAACGAGATTTTTAATGGAAGAATTGTCCAACTGGTTTTTTCACGTAAAAAAAAAAAAAAAAAAAAAATCATCTCCACCAGTTACGACATACGCAGCCTATCTAAAAAATCACCCTCGATCTAAATTGCCCCCGGTGTGAGTCATCACAGAACACCTATACCACGTACTCCAAAAAAAGAAATATTCAATCTAAATTCGTCCACCCGGACCTAATTCAAAAGACAACGCTCTAAATTCTTCTATCTTCTACTCTAAGTAATCCAGGTTAAATTAACAATAATTTAATAATTTAATTAATTTGCAATTAACGAATTGAAATTCTATCTCCTATCTATCAGCGATAAATAGTCGAAATAAAGAAAGAATAAAATTTTTTCCACCAAAGTTTTTCGAGAGAATCTCGAGTTTTCAAAAAAAAATTCATTATCAAGCATACTTCGATCTCTTCGAAGGATAATTATTCTGCATGCGGAAGCAGAGCAAAATTTTTTCGCAAAACGATACGAAACGATTCTACACTTCTCGCTTATTTATTTCGTGTCGATTATTCGCTAAGTGGCCAAGACTAGCCAAGAAGGCCTAAAACTGGCCAGACACACCACACCGTTGCTTTCGCGGCTGACATCCACCGAGTGTGTAACACTCGTTTCCCCCTCCGTTTCCAACTCTATATGCTACCTCCCCTCTCTTCGGGAAACTGATTCTTCCGCGGGCAATGGCGATTGGCGACGCGTTCGGCTTAGTCGCGTGCCGAGACGCCTTGGAACGGGACCGTTTCTGACGAGAGCTGTCTACGTGGAACAGGAGAGACGAGACCGAGCCAGGTCTTTGGATCTGGTCGCGTGATTTCGGCACGTAAAAGCCCGGAGGTTTTCACCAGCCTCGAAACGCGGCTGCTATTAATCATCCGCTTCCTTCCACTCTTCTCTCGGCCGAAACTCGAAAGTGTGTATCAGTACATCGCCGAGCCGCGAGCCTTGCGATCTGTGATCCAATTGTGCTGTATCGAGTTTTGCAACTTTTCTTTTCTCCTTTTTTTTCTTCTTTTTTTCGAGGAGATTCGCGTTGTAAGTGTCTTGTGGTACTTGGTGCTTCGTGAGCAGAGAGATCTTTCGTTTTACGATCGAAGGTTCGCGCGTTATTCTGCCTGGCAATATCTGATGAGTTTCTTCCTTGATGAAGAAAGGACGTTCGATTGGAGAAGATTCACGCGATACAACGTCTCAGGAAATTCGAAGAAAGGTCGTTTCCTTCTTTCTTGAGGAGATTTTTTTTTTAAATTAATTCGAGGATTCAGACGCGTCACAGTGTCTCATAGTATTCGGAGTTTCGTAAAGTCTCGCTTCTCGCTGTTCGCGAGATTAAGCGCTGTGAATCGACCCGAAGCTAGCGAAATTCTAGACTGATTGCTCGACAAGGAGAGACCACTCTTAGCTCGGGAACCTTGAAGCAAGTGAAATCATCAACAGTGTACGACACGAGGAGACTTCTCCGGCCTTCCAGAGCAACTCTACGGACCAAGCTGTAAAACAGATTTCAAAAAAAAAAAAAAAAAAAACAACGATCGAGTAAAAATTAATTCAATTTTAGAACAAAATTCGGATTTTTGAGTGACTTTCGTTATTTTTGGACAAACGAGTGTCTTCAGAGGACTTCTCGATAAATAAATCTCATAAAATCGTCGAGATAATAATCGGATAGAAATCGAATGGATTAGACTCCAAACGACAAAATTCAGGTGTCGAAACATCGTTACTAGACAAGATACACTGTCTGGAAATTATCAATTGCCTTAGAAAGATTTATCGATAAAAATTTACCAATTATTAATAATAAAAAAAAAAGAAAAAAAATTGGAACAGACAGCACGTTTCGTGAGATAAAGTTTGAGTCTCCGAATCGAACCATTATTGCTAGACTAGTAGTGGCCCGTGATAACTCTGTCTTTGTCAATGTTGCGTTGCCCTTCTGAATCGTTGAAAACCGTGAAAATCGATCTCGAACTTTGTCACCGAACGGCGAACCGCAGCAACAAAAGAACGAACAATGCCGGGGCGATCGCGTGTTCACGGCACGTAAACTGGCAGATCTCTGGAAATCATTGGTGATTCGTGGCACGTGGCAATTCGCGAGAGTTTGAACGAGGCGTGTGGCTTCTCGCTTGTTGAACAAGTGATGTGTGATGGTGCGTGAATCGATCGCGAGCCACCCCTGGTGCTTTTTGCCTTTGGATGCGTGAGTAAGATCAGCGATCAAAATCCGGCACACTTCTCTGGTGACCCACGCGCTAAACCTTGACACGCTGTTTAATATTAGTTGTTGGTGACCTTCCAAATAGCTTCAGGCTCTTGGAATATTTGTAAACTACTTTGTGGCTACACGCACACGTTCTGATCGCGTTCGTGGATATTTACGTATCTAGCGAGTGATTCGCTCTCGTCCGCGGTGAAGAGAAAGAGACGCGGATATATAATAATGGTAATTATATGAATACAGAGTGTGGATGTTTATTCGAATTAAAGGGTGTTGCTTCAGCGAAGAGAGAACTCACACACAGCGAAACGCGATACACACGTTTGATGGTTTTGTTTCACCGTTGGTGTGGCGTGGATCTTGAAAGTGGATTCGACGAGTTATAATGGCACCGGCTGCTACGTTAGACTGGTCCGAGCCCTGCCAGCACTGGCGTTATCCGAAATTCTGCCCGTCTGGCCAACAGAAGCATGAGAGAGCGAAGAGCGCGATGGAATTGAGCAGCAAAGAGGCGAACACCGCGTACAAAAAGTTCTGCAAGTTCCTCCGTCGGCTGAAGCACAAGAAACGTAAGTTTTTCGCCTGTGGCGAACGGAGAACGATCGTTGCTCCGAGGGTTAGGACCTCGCGTTACAATCTCGCGTGAGAGAGAGAGAGTATCTTCTGCCTGGAAAAAGTGTTTCCCTCACTTTCAAAAAGCTGAATCTTTCTTCTTTCGTTTCCTGCCTTTGGTCTATCGGTCTCTCTTTGGCTTTTATCCTTTCGTGGAGATTAAAAGGAGATCCGCTCGTTCTGGTTTTCGCATTTTTCATTACAACGTGTTTGAATCGAGTCAAGGGTCAATTGGCAATCCTGATTATTGGCGAATCTTTGTCTCGCAAGCGAGATAAAACGAGAAAGAAATATTGGCAGGAAATTGATGTTCTTAATTACCGCGTATTTGAATCGGGACGTTAATAAATCTTTCGCTCCGTAGAAATTAGTCGAAATCTCTCTCTGTTCGAGAAAATTATAATCAGGACGTTTTCAGATTCTTATCTGACAAGAATTGATCGAAATTTCCTATCATGAAATATTTGTTTATCCTTCGCGCTAGATTTTTCTTTTATAAGAATTGACAAAAGTTTCATTACTACGAGACTTGGAATTTATAGTTGGAGCAACTTCGAATTAGAAGATTCGCCTATCACGATTTCGATCTTCTAATTGCTCTTGAAGTCGTTGATCGATCGTTAACTCAGTGCGATAGGATTCGTAGGCGTAACATATTCACTGTTTCAACCGAGTTTGACTGCTCTTTAATCCCCACTTGTACAATGTAGTCGGAATATTTTAAAGTATAATGAACCCAGGCATTATCGCTAAATTATTCAACTGCCGGTAGATTATTCTTGCTTTTCAAACATGTCAATCGCACCGACGCGAGTCGTGTTATTTCCGATGAAACGAGATCGTAACAATAATCTTGCGTAAATTTACGTTGTAGTAAGTACATCTTGAAGAGAACACGTCGAAATTGATTTGATACTTTTGATGTACTTGCTATATTTGTTACTTTGAAATATAGTTTCTTCGTGTGACGCAACAAACTTTCCAAAGAATGAAAGATATGACAGAATTTGAAACTGTCATGAAAATTTCTGATCTATCAGGCATTTAACTTACAATCAGTAGAGGGGACGGAAAATTTCAGATTTCAAAATCAATGCGAGGTTTTCATCCTCGTTGCGTCTCGACATTGTCAGCTCTCGCAAACATTCCAACTTAATTAATAAAATATCTCTGAATATTATTATCGACAAAAAAAAGAAAACGGTAACGCACGTTCCCTCTAATAAGAAGGCGTTCTATCGGCTTGTTTTGTTAAACAAAACCTTTACTCGCGCTTTGGAAGAAAAAAAAAGGCGACGGTCTGCCATTTGAGCGAGAAAGGTTAGAGAAACGCAAGACGGATGGGCAAAGAAAGAAAAACTGTTCGACGAGAAGTAATACACCGACCCACTGACATTTATCCCTTGTTATTCATATTTATTTTCGTTATACACGCCGACCCTCGGAAATTATTTTTTCATATGTCAAAAGCTTTGCTACGTCAGCTTCGACGTGTTGTACGGCGAAGAAAAAGAAAGGAAAAGGGAAAGAAAGAAAGAAAAAAAAAAAAGAAAAGCGGAGGCGAAGTGATTTAAATTTGCTCTCGATGTTATACACTCGATCAATCCTTTATCACCTTGTCGTTAGCCAAGGGTTCTCAACCATTGTGAAATTAACCCTTCCTCTTTCTTGAGCTGAATTCTCATCTTACTGCATTTTTTTGAAAAATTGGAAAATACAAGGGTATACTCCGTTCGCGTGATCCGTAAAAATGTGTGAAATATCCGAAGTGTACTACTCTTTGTGATATTATTTTATTTAAAATATGTACGACAATTATTTGTTTATTTTTTGTTGCACTTGTGGATGATTTTAAAGTGAAAAAATACTCCCATTTCGTGTAGTGTATAAAGTATAAAATATTGAAAATGATAATACTTGACAAGTAATTCGTTCGGGATACGACGCTTATTTATTACTTTTTATGCATTTATGGAAAATTTGAAAGTGCATAAATGCACGCAATGCATGCAACATGCAAAAATATGTGGAGTATCAGAGTATAATACTTCTTGTGATGCTGAACAACTAGAGCAATTTTCTACTTAGGTTTCACTTTTTTCTAATTATCTTCGTAAAAATGTAAAATTGGATAAACATCCGCCGGTCTATCTGTTACATTGGTGCATATGAAACGTCGTTTTTTCTCCCAAGTAAATCGTTAACCAAGTATATTTTATTCTTAGAACGTTACATACTTGATCAATTCGCCACGCGATTTTTAATTATATTAGATTATTAATTTTCGATACTCGGCAATTGTTCGAATGAGATAGTCACTGTCTCTGTCAAAATAATTTCATGCATTTAACTGCAGTTTCTAAAATAATTTACTGCCTGGATGAAATAGAGGATGAACAAATCTAATCTGAGTTCATATGTTGTAATTTTCATGGTACAATTTCTAAATTGATTTCCATGCAATTTCCGTACTGATTATTCGTTATAGCCATTGATAAGATCTTTATCTTTTCGATATTGCACCTGCATAATTCACAGCAAATTTTCTTCACTAACGTGATTCGATAAGACAGATACAACTTAATGGGCACTTAATCTTAATTTAATTAATGGATCTTAATTATGACGCTAATTTGACATTAATCGTGATAGTATATTAATTATTATGTATTTCATATCTTTCTCAATGCTTCAAACTATTGAAAAAGCTAACAATCAAATTATAGTCCTTGCTTGCGTTTTTCCAATCATTTCTTACCCAGTA